GTCATTCTGCCTCACGGCAAGAAAAGCATAGATAATTCACTTAACCAATCTGAAGGGAACACCATGTTCACATTGGTAATAGAAGAGGATAGATCCTTACCCTTTTTGGATGTTATGATTATTAAAGAAAATAGTAAGTTAGGAAGATATGTTTATAGGAAGCAAACGTATATTGGGTCCTTTCTTAGTTTTCTTTCCAGCCATACTTACAAAACCAAGGTTGGAGTGTTAAAGTCAATGATTATTAAGAATATGAGACTAGCGGATAGTAAGCATTTGACAGAACGGCTGAAAAATATTTTCCTCGTAAATACTTATCCTTTGGACCTAATTGTTAATGATATCTTTTTACTGAGGAATAAACTTTCATAAGGAGTCTGTTTAGTCAAAGATAGACAAAAGGAAACCTTTTCTCATATCCTAATTTTGCCGTCATGCCTTATTTCATAAAAGACAGGAGAACTGGTGAGAAAGTGAGGGATAAAAACAGGGTTCAGAGAAATCCCCACACTACCTTCGGTTACGCTATCCTTTAGGAAGAAATATGACCCATTATCGAGACCCGATTGATAGAGGATTGTGGCTCTCGCGGTTGACCCTATATTGGTGATATATGCTAGCCTATTCGACAGTGATTAGGGGAACTCAAAAATGCTTGTAAAGGGAGCTGGGTTCAACGGTCAGAAGTGGCCGAACACATGGTAGAGACCAGGCATGAGATAGAATGGTGGCTAATTATGGTACGCCTTCGTTTAAAAGGAAGATAAAAGAGAATCTAACTTAATAGATTAGGGAATAAGATAAATGTAAGGAACGTTGGTATAAAGTTGAGCAAGAACTATTTATGCTTGATTGAAAAGTATGTTGATCCGCAATCCAAAAGAAGACGACCCAATCTGTCTGCTCAGTGATGGCTCTAACTTCACCCATATTTGTCCAACATGTTAGATTAAGTTCATCAACGAAACCAGGCGTATCAGATTACGCAACCCCAGTCATACTTTTATATGGGTGGTTAAACTGGGAGGTTGACAGTCGGTTTCATAACCCGACTTTCTTGCCTACATTTCATTATCTCAACCACTGTTGCGTATAGACTTAAGAAGTATCGGTCAAGGCTTTTTCTTGGGTCATTGAGCCTTGATGAAACACACACACACTCACATCCGAGCAAAATTGGCAGGACCAATATGAAAAACAATTGGGCAAACCACCATACATCTAGCTATACCTGTTCATTTTCGTTTTTAATTATGAGTATACATAAGAGGTAAGATACAGCCGGATAGTCTTCTTGACCTAACAAGAATGAGTTCCAGCTCTGATGGTGTCCATCATATGATGGACGAAAGCTCGGCTCGTTTTCACCCGAAGAGAGAGTCTCATGGACTGCGTCGACCTCAACTTCGTATTAGAGCCAAATGGCTGCAGTACAAAGGGATTCAGCAATCGTCTGCTCGTAAGCCAGCCTACAAATCTCTTCTTTATGCACTCTGGTGAGAAATGAAAGCCTTTCCAACGACGTTATCTCAGGGGATTCGCCGAAACTCATTTACTCTTCGTATCTACCACTGGGATAACCGAAGTTAGATTGGTTTTAGAACGTCATTGGATTTGCTGTAAAAAAGGCCTAAATTTAATCTTGCCCTCCTTAAAAAAATAAGCGAAGGCATCAAGTGCATTTACTCAATGATGCTACCGTCGATGTGACTAAATGGATGAAGCCCAAGTAAGGAAGGCTTGATTTAGAGGTAGAATAGAGCTTCGGAGCCAATCCTCGAAAATAGCGAGTAAGCTTGTGGAAAAGGTTGTTGAGAAAAGCATATCCACGAGTTTGCGCTAATGCATGAAAGCAATAGATAAAGAATAAATCATAGAATAACAGCAGCAAGTGTAGTATAGGACTAAAGCATTTTTCGTATAAGGTAGTAAAGTATAAGCTATTTAAATAGGCATGGAGAACAGAATAAAAGGGGGACAGCTGAGAGATTTGGAGATGGGACTTAATGAACTAAATGTTAACTAGCATTCGAATATTCGATTATTATAGTTAGTGTAAATGGCCTGGAAGAAGCAGGATAAGCTAAGGATTAAAAGGCCATGCCAAAAACTTATCTTTCTTGCAATTATAATGCAGATGAAAAAAGTGGAAATGGATTATCACCAAGCTGACCAAGTGTTTAAAATGCACAGAAATTGGCTGATGTAACTAAAACATCGTTGAAATAAATGCTAGTGACCAAAAGTAAAAATTTAAGAATAGAGAATAGGAACCCAGAACATAGAAATGAAGAGATGTTAGATAAAGTTCTCGTTAGTCTTCTACTACCTAAGAACTGAGGCAATCTCGTAAGGAAGATAAAAAAGTATTCGAGTAAAAAATAAATTAATTGAGGATCAGGCAGAAATCAAAGAATAATTGACAAACGTGACAAATAGTAAAATAACAAGCATTATCATTAATTGTATATGGTAAGTGTCAAGTGATGAGACTATTCAAAAATAATGGAATCAATGCTAGTAAACACAATAAGGCATTTATAGTTCGCTTTCCTTGCATCATTTCCGGTAATAAGCCGGAACCTTTTATTCGGGAAGGATATGATCCTAGAGAAGGATAAAACTTTGCTTAGCCCGATGAAAGAGAATCAAAGCCGATAACATTAACAAATTGGAAATCATTCATTGTACAAAATCTTTACTCGATAAAATGTGCTGTAGATAAACAGTGTATATAATCTATATAAGCCTTTGGAATCTAAAGAAGGATGTTAGGTCCATAAGGAGGCATATGGATATAAGAATGCTCAGCAGAGGCAAGAAAAAGCGCAAAAAATAGTAATTATAAATTAAATGAAGATAAATTTTAAGCTATTTACACAATTATAAGGTTGGTATAGCGTAAAGAATGAATGAATATTTTGATAAATAAAAAAGTAATTCCGCTTGACCGAATTAATTTATAGGTCGGAAGAGAAATGAGTACAAATAAGTGAATTAGGAATAATATGGTTTTGAGTAAGATCGAAGAAAATTATCCAAGGCAAGAATAAAACAAATAGTACGATGAGGACTAGATCTGTGAAAGCGTATCATTTATTTTTATTTTTAGATAAATGCAAAGAATGGTTTAACTGAGGTGGGGATATGAAGGAAGGACCAGATGAAGAGCCGGATGTCCAAACAGAGAATATCTTTTCATAAAAAACCTGGCCACATACAAGGATAGCATATTGAAGAGCATATTGGGTGATAAGAGCACCAAAACCACGATAGAGACCCAGAAAACCAAGTTCGTTAGACGTGGCTCTGGAAAGACAGTCTAAGAAGCCAGTGTAGGATGTGCTAATAGGCAAAACAGAATTCCCTGTATCCAAGTTGTCGATAAGAGTGCGAGTTCCTTGTATAGAAAGCCTAAGGACAATTGTTTCCAACGGATAGCAAACAATATCAGCCACGGTGTTAGCGATTACGTTTGATAGCAATTCATTGTAACCCCGTGTGTAGGCTGCTTGAAGCGCAATTTCTTCCCTCTGAGCAGTTAAAAGTTGCCAGTCTTGTGGTTTATGAGGAATCCGATGGCCAATATTCGCGACTTCAGGGTTTATTGCAGGATGAAGGTCGTCACTATCAAGCTGAATACTAGCTTCCTTCCTTCCTTTACTCTGTCAAAAGAAATTAAAGGAAAAGTGTTTGCATCATATACCAAGAAATCAAAGTGAAGGGGTGATAGAGGTAGTAAGATATACTAAGGAGAGGGCCCTAGAAAACATAAATTTAAAAAGCAGACAATAGCTAAAGTAAATTATGAAGATGAAAAATGCTTTGGCTTACGCAAAGAACAAAATTAATATCAGTTTCAGCATCATCTTCATCTTCGGAACAGTGAAGATACGTTTTGGCAATGAATTCCACCATAGATTTTATAAGGTAGCTAAACAGACTGTATGTGACATATGCCGGCACAAGACGCCATACAGGAAGCATGTGACTGGTGAGTGGCTGAAGACGACGGTTGTGAAGCAATCCACCGCCACGAAAGGACGGATTAAAAGAAGGTCGCATACGAGTATACGATCTGACGAAAATTAGCCGGCGAAAACCTTCCGATATGCAAGTGAATATGCCTGTAGACTCAGAGGCTATAGAAGACTAAGATCACCGGACAAATATGTATTAAACAAGTAAATAAATGATAATTAATCATTAGAATGCATACCTGAACAGTTTCCACGACGCTTGCTGCATAAAAAGGAGTAATGCATGCTCGCGAAATGCTGGAACAATAAGAATAATTAATCAATCTACCCCTTTAATAGTAAATGTAAGAGTATCCGCTTAAATGAACTGTGTTTTGTTATTTCTCTGGTGCATTTATTTTATCAAAAAAGCTTTACTTTGGAAGAGAAATAAATCCAGAGATTGCACTTTCACTCGCAATAGCGAGAAATTCAACAGTCAGAATTCCACTTAATCCTTTCCATAAAGAAGAAACTCCCTATAATAAATGAGTAAAACAGAGCCTGCCTGATTTCGCATATATCTTTTCATTATGATAATTAAAGAAAAAGGGAACAAATGCAAGTGCTTCGAGGAACTGCGCACCTAGATTGACATAATTGTAATATATTAATACTTGGCATTGATGGCGAATGACAGTAAAT